AATTCCCAGAATTCCCCAGCCAGCATGGGGAATTCTGGGAGTTGGTCCACACATCTTAAAGTCGCTGAGGTTGAGAAACCCTGCTCTAGATGTTTTGCTTATTTATAATTTTGAAGCATATTTTTAAAAAGCTAACATACTGTAAAAAATGAAGTTATCCCCTAGGGAAAAAAGAAAAGGACTCTGACCTTGGCCTCCCAAGAACAGGGACAAGAAAAACTGCGAAGCTTTCCCCCAAACTGAAAGGTGGACTGAACACATTTATGAGCTTCCTCTCTGATGTAAGAGGACAAGGGACAAGTCCCTCACCCTCCTCTGACCCCTCCTCCCCCAGGGGTTCCTAAATATGTGCCCAGAGTAGGGAAGATAGAAACACAGTTGTAATTGATTTAATTTCACCTCCTTGAATTAGCTCCAGGTTTTCGCTAAGCTGAGGCTTCTGTTATCTCACTGGCTCTTCACCAGAGCAAGGCTAATAATATGTTGCAAAAAGTCTTATTATCCAAAGAATGCACAAATATTGCCTTGATCTAGCAGCTTCTGCAAGTACAAAGACAAAACTAAGAAAATTCACAATGAAGGAAGTTCCATGTTTCTTTAAGATTCATGAACTGGCATTCAATTGCTGATTTCAGTTCACTGAAATTTTAAATAAGGCTGTAATCACACACCCATTTACTGAAGAGTGTCTCACTGAATGAATATGCAGCGGTTACTTCTGAGTAAGTGTTCAGAGGATTGTTGCAAAAGTGTGTCTTTGCCAGTTGTTAACAAAATATTCCAGCTGTTTTGTCCCTACAACAAAATAATAAATTTCCAATAATACCATTGCATTTCAGTTTTGTTTCCCAACAACCTATGTTAACCAGAAAAAAAGTTGAGTTGGAGAATGCCAGTAAAGTTATTTGGAATGGAAATCTATTTCTGTTTCAAAACAAACTTTTAAATAAAATTAGAAGGTGAGAAGGAAAAACCAAGTATTCTGTGGTCTATTTGAAGCAACTCAACCCAGGGAGTGGGAGGAGAAAAGAAATGCATCCTTATACTGGATCAGCAGGACTGCCAGATCTGGGCTGCAAAATCTGGATAACCACTAAGTGGCAGCAAAAGGATACAGAGAGCTCTCTTTGTTGCCACCTAGTGGCCATTAATTTTCCAGTCCAGCTCTGGCAGCACTACCATGAACCTTTCCCTAATCTAAGGCCTACCAGATTCGTTGCACTACAATTTACATCATTTCCAACCAGTTATTGAACAACTCTTATCATCCCCTACCAGAGCAACCACTGGCTAGATGGAAATTATGGGGATTGTAGCTCCACAGAAGCCAGCTGAGTGATTTTGGGCCGGTTACTCTCAGTCCTAGGAAGAAACCGATGGCAAACTATTATACTTACTTCCAAAAATGCTGCCAAGAAAGTTGCAGGGACTTCTCCAGGCCAGGAGCCAAGACTGCCTACCCCACAAGAAAGTTCAACGTCACTTTTTAGAAAGCTATTTTAACACCTTGAGGCTTTCATTTATGTTTTATTGGATTTTTTCCTGTACTACGTCTCTCCCATGTGTCATCAAAGACAGCTATAACAATTTAACAGCAGAATCAATCTGCCTGGCATAAAAAGGAGCGTGAACAAAAAAGGAGAGGCAGATGTTTCAGAATAGCTTGCTCATTAGGCCACCATGTCTGAAAACCCATTTCACATCTGTTCTGCAGAGCAGCGTCAGGCCAGAGCACCCACAGACTGCATGCACATGACCTTGAAAGAAAGATTTCAGATATCATTCAGGAATTATCCCCAACCTGGTACCCTCCTGATGTGTTGGACTACAATTCCCAGAATTCTCAGCCAGCTAAACCAGCATGTTGAGGGCTGGAGGACACCACGTTGGAGATTGCTATATGATTGCAAAACTCACCAGATGACCTTGAACAAATCTCCATCTCACAGCTTTACCAGGGTGGATAAAAGAAATATGCCTCCACATAGGCAGTTAAACTTTTAAGTATTTTCTGTAGACTATCTGAATTGCAAGAATGAGTTGTTCTCAGACCACCCTCCGTCGCGTTTGCCAGCTTCCAAGCAAAGCAATACTGCAGGCCAGCAGAGGGGTGAGCACTCACATTAACTAGTTCCTGCACATCCATGCTCCACGCCAATATAACAGCACCAGCAGTGCCAGCTGTATCTGCTAATGTAACCAAAGGCTCTACCGCATTGATAGTTTATGGCTTGGAAGGTCTTAATTCAAATCACTCATCAGACATCTTAAACTTGAACTTCAATATTCGCAGTGGGAAAGAGAACGGTGCCCTTTAGAAATAAAGATGGGACCTCAGCAGTTTGCTTTCAAATGGGCCAGGATTAAGGACTGCCCCTCTGCCAGTCAGCCTCCTCCTCTGAGTTAATGCAGAAGAATAAAAATGGAAATCAAATCAAGTGAGAAAAGCCTAAAGCAATCCCAAAGGTGGCCCCCTCCCCTTAACCTCTTGGCCATGGTAGTGGGCAAGGATTAAGCCCTGCCCCACATGACCCAGCTGATTGCATTTATATGTCAGGATGTAAAACCCGCCCTGCTGAGCAGCCTTTTCTCTGCCTGAGGCAGGGAAGGCGGGGTGGGGGGTGGGGTGGTTTCTGCTGAGTGTCTCGCCCAACAGACACACAAAGGGGATTAGCCAAGAGCCTCTCAGCCCTGCAGAGTAATCCATCAAATTATCCCCTTGTTGGTGCTGCTGTCCTCTTTTGGGGAGGGGGCAAGGCTCTAAAGGCTTTTAAAGATGCTGAAATTACACTTGAGCCTGAAACGGTCCCCCCAGCTGCTTCTAGCTGAGCCCTACAATGGGACAGTTGTAAACAGAAGACGAGGATCTGGAAGGGAAAAGAGAGGGAGCGGAGCGCTACAAGGGGAAAGACGAGAGGCAGCCAGTGTTAAAGAGGGCAGTGGCCTCTCCCATGTGTCAAAACCCAACAGGTGGCCTGGCCAGCTCTCCTCCCTTGTGGTTTCCGGTAACAGAAACAACAGCGCTGAAAAGTAGCTGACCATATACCAAGTTCCTCCCAGCCCACCCCACCCCTTCTCCATTTGGGGAATGAGTCCCCATTTCTAGGAGTTAAGTTTGGTATTGTA